TTGGAGAAGTCTCTAGAATATAATGGAAAATACACAATGCAAAAAAAAAAAAAGACTACTATGTGCTACTTTGGGGTAAGACAGAGAATATATATTTACACAAAGCTACACTAGAAAAATAAATCAAAAATTCATAAAAATGGGGGAAGAGGGAATAGAGGTGGGAGAATGGGTTTGATTTAACAGGGATAAAAGTGAATATTTTACTTTTGAGACATAAATGTTTTGTGAATTTTATACAAATTAAGCTAAAATCCCTAAAATTTGAAACAAATGGAAACTACTGAAAAAAAGAATTATTTCAACTAATTAGAAGACAATACTGTGTGTTCTTAGTGGAAAATATCTTAAGGACAAAAAGAACTACCAAAACCCTGAACCTCATTTAGTAGTTTTATTGTTAAGTTATATTGTATGATTATTTGAAACCATATTGTATATATTATAGGATAAAGCAAGTCAGTAATTACATTATTCTGACTGGGAACTAAGACTTTTAGTGTAAAAAGGAATTTAAAATTTTTTAAAATATATATATATTTATTTTTTAACATTAATGGACCTTTATTTTATTCATTCAGTTACATGCGGTGCTAAGAATTAAATACAGTGCCTCACGCATGTGCTCTACCACTGAGCCACAATCCCAGCCCCAAGTGTGTAAAAAGGAATTTAAAGCAGCTGAATGAAAACACTAATATTAAATTTGAATCAGAAATGTCCATTTTAACTAATTATTTCTAAATACATGTCTCCTAGCTCTAGAAAACAAAAGAACCTAATGATACCTCACCTCAGTACCAATGAACGTCTTCATGCACAGATTGTGGTTTCTAAATACCATTTCTCACTGACTAGAAATACAGTTTCTTGGAGACTCTAGGTCTGCAACAAGGAAAATATAAAGCAGGTTCAGGAAATAAAGCTATGTTCAAATACTAGTAGAATCCTGGGAGGGGGGGATTACTAGAATAGATGTAAATACATTGCTTATTTAAAAATTCATGAGTCCCTACTAATAACTGAATGAGAATAAAACAAACAGATAATAATAACCCTTTTCTGTCATCACTAGATATGGTATTCTAATTCCTAACACAGAAAATTGGTACATAAGGGAAACAAGCATCTATCCTGTCATTTCAGAAAGAACTATAGTTCCATTGATTGAAAAAAGAAACTCTTTCTTTTCAGATGAGTGCCAGCTAATAAATGTAGAAGAAGCAATAGAATTACAAAACCAGCACTTTGAAAGCCTAATCTGATTGTTGATTCAGGGAAGTTATCATAGGTGATAAAACCATTATGAGAAGAGAGGATGGGGAACTGGAGAGTCACATCATGCCAATTATCACACCCATAGATTGCTGTTGACAAAAAGGAGAGATTACTGTACAGAGGAGAGATCTGCCTGTCACCCCCTCAACTCAGCAATCAAACAGCCTCACCAATTATGGGACAATAAAATGTTTCCTGATGAAATGTGAGGTATACCACATCACCTATGAAGAATTATTACCGAGGGTGGGGATATAGCTCAGTTGATAGAGTGCTTGCCTCACATGTGAAAGGCCCTGGGTTCAATCCTCAGCACCACCACAAAAAAAAAGAAATTACTACCCAAACCTTTAATCTGAATATAATCAAGTCTTTAGTCCAAAGTTCTAGTCTACAGAGAACTCACTGGATAGAGGAATAAGTCACATGAAGCCATAAAGTAACAATTACACAAATTCAAAATGTGAGATATTCTACAAGATAACTGGTCTGGTTTGTTTGTTTATTTACTTAGGTACCAGGGATTGAACCCAGGGGTGCTGAGCCACTGAGCCACATCCCCAGACTTTTTATGGCCTCACTAAGTTGCTGAGGCTGACTTTGAAAACTTTGATCTTCCTGCTCAGCCTCCAGAGCTGCTGGGATTACAGGAGTGACCAGTGGCCTGGTTTTTTAAAAAGACAATGTAAAAAAATGGTTGGGCAGAGCTAAGGTTGGGATTGATTATAAGAGACAATATAATCAAATTTAATGAATGATTGTTGGCAATATCTGAGAGAAGGCAGTTATAAAAACATTTCCAAGACAAATGGGGGAATTTGAACATAAACTGGGTAATCGGTGATACTAGGGAGTTGTTTCAAGTTTTGGCCAATACGATTATGGTACAATGTTATGCAGCAAGATTTCTTGAACTGTTGAATCTAGGTGATGGGTATTCACATATTCTGTGTATTTTCCCAGGTTTTCTAAATGTTTGACAACTTGTAAGTAAAAAAGATGTCTGTATATGTTTACAGTGCCACCTCATACTTGGAAATTACATGAGATCACTGGATTCTTGAATCTATAAGTTGATGTGTGTTACCTAGTAAATAATTACTGCTCTGCAAGAGATATTTTATAATTTAAACAATGATTTTGTTCCATTGTTTTAATTAAAATAAAATAAACATGATGTAATGACTTCAATTATTTTGCTCCGTTACCAGGTTATTAAAAATACACATAAAATTTGACCATTTTTTTTCTAGCAACTTTTTCAAATGTGAGGCCAAAGTATAGACTCATTCTATCTTGAGATTCTACAATTGCTTCATTCATATCTTATCCTTTGGGTTAAGGATGTAGCTCAGCAGTAGAGGACTTGCCTAGCAGGTATAAGGCCCAGCGTTCAATCCTCAGCACCGTGCAAAAAAATAAATAAAATAAAATAAAATCATCATTTGAGAAATAATGTTCGACAGTTTTAAATTACTGTGATACTGCCTACAAGCATTCCAGAAACACCAAGAATAAGTTGTAATTGTAAACTTATTGTAAAAATGTTAAGATGTTTTATAAGTTTTTCTTTGCTGTGTTTGATTTTTATTGCCAATCCCAATCAGAAAACAAAGATTAATTTTAAAAATTAGTAAAAAAAAAAAAAAAAAAGAGAAGGCACAAAGTTTATGAAATATTACAAAATCTTTATAATTTTAGTGCCTGGCGTATAATTTGTGACTCTCCTTCTTATATTGTCAATACAAGTCCAGATGCTCATCTCCCCCATCCCCAGGATTCCTCCACCATCCTCCTCCTACAGTCTGGTCCCCATGGTCCTGGTTTCCAAGCCAAGCAGGAGGTATGTTTAGGAAATATGGTAGGTAGGAGTAGCTGCCATACAGTTATTATTTAGCCCAAAGTGAATAATCTTCACTTATCCCAGTTCCTCTTCATACAGCCAAAGCCATTATTGAAGTTTCCCTCATCTGGATTGTGGAATGAGGTCATTCAATTTCTTCTTCATGTCTTCACAGTTTCTAATGATTCTTTAGCTAAGTTCAATTAACTGGACTTGAAAAAAATTTTTTTCACAGCATGGAACTATCTTGTGCAGAAACTATATTAAAAAGATAGATGAATGGATGTGTGTGTGTGTGTGTGTCTGTCTGTCTGTCTGTCTAGCCTTATTGTTCAGTTCACATTAGTGGAGTTAACAATATCCAGATCCCAATATTCACTCCCAGATGGATCTAACAAGTATGAGGTCTTTTCCACTTTCTCTGGCCTAGAGTTCATTCTATGAGCCAGTTCTCTTCCTCTTCTTAAATCATTTGAAGTTCCCTGGATTCAGTTTCTGAAGAACCAAAGCAATTCCAAAGGCACTCCATAAATCTTTTGATGGATAGAATTATTCTTTCAAACTACATTTAAAAAAAAAAATCTTTTTAAAGCCCTAAGCAGCTTTAAAAAAGGACTGGGATGTGGTTCAGAAGTAAAATGCCCCTGGGTTCAAAACCAGGCACAAATAAAGGGTGTGCACACAACAGCAATGACTTTCTGCAAACTTATTCAATTCAAACCTTACTCTCCCGAAAATGAAATACAACTCCATACATATTTAAAAATCAACCTCAATGACCAATTTTTTTTTTGTAGTAAAATTCCTACCATCCACTGCACCTTTTCAAAAAGGTGCTCATTAAGGGGCGAACTCCATAGTGCAAAGGTTTTCTCCTGTTACTAAATCACCCCGTTATGATTTATCATCTCCTGAGCTTGAGCTGTTGGCCAGGATTCAATTTAACCAGAATTCCTGAAGATAGGAGCTGGGAATAATTGCTACTTCCAAAATCTTCATCTTTCTGGTGTCCATCCTATACCTTGCTTCTGATGGCATCATGCATGGCACAATAAGCCATTTTCTTCATATCAGATTCCCACTTTTAAATCCTAATTCAAGCTTCAGGTTTCCAACTACAATCCATTATACTAAACCAAAACTGTCTCCCACATACAATATAAACCCACACTGTGAAAACTGTACATCCCAGCTCCTTAACTACCTTTCCCCCTCTTACCCTTAGCAAGGGAAGACAGGCTCATGGTAGTCTTTCAAGACAGAAGAAAGCAAAACAGATGTTGGTTAACTCCTAAATCCCTTTCACATTTTAGTTAAGTGTGTTCAGGAGACAATTCACACCAATATCAAGAGAAAATCCTCAAGCCCCAGCACTAGGGTTTGAATCCAGGAGCTCATACATGCTAGGCAAGTGCTATCTGCCACTGAACTACACTTAACCGTCTCAAAAAAGGCTATTTCCCAGTCTGGTCCTGACCTTGTGATTCTGCTGCTGTAGAACCTCCTCCAACAGCTGGGATTACAAAACATGTGTGCCCCATATCCAGGCCAAACTTGATACAGACACAAATGAGCCAGATTAGACTCATTTATAAAGGGCTGATAGTACTATTAACAACATAGCCAACACTAAACTAACCCAACTGCAGTATGGCCATTCCTCTCAAAAAATCACTTTCCTGAAAATTTTAAGGGACAAAAAAAAAAAACAGGCAGCAGGCTAAGTGTAACTCAATAGTAGAGTACTTGCCTAGCACTTCAAAGGCCCTGGGTTTAGTGCCTGGCACTGTAAAAAAAAAAAAAAAATTGAAACCAATCAGTTCTTTTCAAACCTACAAAAAAAAAAAAAAATATTACACAAAGATGACTCACTCAAAACTTGAATAATATTTTCTTTATTTACAAGTTAGAATCAAGAGACAAAGACAGTCCAGGGGACCAAATGGGGAGATGACTGAAACCCCCAGAGCCCCAAATGGAGCGGAAGGAAAAAGGGAAAACAGAGTAGAAAAAAAAAAAGTCAACGTAAAAAAAGAGCTCCCCCTTCTTCCCTCCCCATGGAGGCCAAGGGGACCATGGCCATATCCCCCACAGCCTCACCTAGCTTAAAATAAATTAGAACAAACAACCTCAAAACAGGGCCCTTAGAAGTGAACAGCGCAGCTATGGCCTCAGGTAACATTGTGTCCAGGGGCTTTTGCCCACTCTCACCCTGTACCCTTGCCCCATCCCCATCATTCTGAACAGGGGGCTCTATGCCCAAGAGGTTACTCCCAAAGGGGCTGGGAATTCAATCTTATTTTTTGTCCATGTCCCTCCTTCAGTGAATGTTCCTGCATTCCTCCCCCCTGCAGAGCCAGCTCTCCTACAGAGGGGGGAGGGGAGGTGAGATGAAGAAGTGTCACAGCAAGGGGGAATGGGTTGGGGCAGGGTAGTTCAGGGGTCCGGTCCTGCGGAGCCTTCCTGCCCCATCTGGCCTGGCCCCTTAGCCTGAGTCCGAGTCACTGGTGTCTGAAGAAGAGGAAGATGAAGAGGAGGAGCTGGAATCTGAGCTGGAGCTGGAAGCACTGAGACGAGACACTGCTACTTGCTGTGCAGAGGTTGACTCAGTTTTCTCACTCGCTGAACAAAAAAGTTGAGAGTTAAGATAAAATTTTTTTCTGAAAACATGAAAACAAGTATAACACATTTGCAGCAGTCTCCAAGTATTCTCACCTTTCTTGGGGGGCTTCTTGGTGGAATTGAGCTGCCCGCTGACATCTTGTAACCTCTTTTCCAGTTCCCGCTTTTTCTCCAAAGCTAGTTCCTCCTTTGTCTTTCCTACAGGTTTCTTAATGGCTGGGGGCGGGAGGATGGATAACAGAATTCACTAAGATTGCCTAGAGTTACTGGCCACATAGATTTCAGAGTTCCATTTTTTAAAAAAATGTAGACAGACATAAAACACGTATTATTTTTATGTGGTGTGCTGAGAATTGAACCAGTGCCTCTACACATGCTAGGCAAATGCTCTACCAATTGAACTATAATATAACCCCAGCCCTCCAAGTTCCATTCTTGAACATCAAGGAAGCAGCACCGCACATGCATCACATCATCTTCAAAACAAATTATTTCGAATGCATTATATTGTGTACCACTACCTCTTTCTAAGCTGTCAGAACCACGATGGACTTCAGGTGATACTCACTATAGGGCTTCCGCGGTTTCTTTCGTAGGCAGGAGAGGACATAACGCTCAAGTTCTCTAAGTGTGGATGGTTTGAGTGTTTCAAAATCAATTTCAATCTCTTCTGGGTTTGAGTCCCGTAAAGAAGGCTCTCGGGCTTGGATTATATGTACAACTCGACCCAATTTCTCTCCAGGTAATTTGTTGATATCCAGGCTTAACTGTCGTTTCTCATCATAACTCATGGGCCTACTTTCTTCTTCTTCCTCTGAATCGTATCCAGTAGGCAGGGCAGGTGGAGCTGTCTTTGTGGCCTTTTTGGGTAGCCTATAGGCAAACAAAGCAAAACAAAAAACCCTGTCAACTACAAAAACTACCTCTCCAAACATAGTCCCACTGTTCAACCAGAAATTTATTTCCTGCCTATATTTTTGCCATAAGGCAAAAAAGCCAAGTTAGAGGTAGGTTTACTAGGACACTGAGTTAAGAAAACTGAGCATTTTATTGACTTCTTATATCAATTTAATATTTATTTGGGGCTTTAAAGTATACTGGTACAAGTCCATCTTTTTGCTCCCTTAAAAGCACAACTACAGCCATCGTGAAAAAACACACAAGTCTAGAATCATTTATTTACAAGAGTAAGCAAACTGGCAAAGAGGAACAAATCTAGCTAACGTGATTTTTGTAAATCATGCGTCATAATTAATTGTTTTCATATTGCCTACAGCTTTTTATGCACTACACATCTGAGTCAGTTACCCTGAGAGACCCCATGGTTCTTGAAGGATATTACCCTGATCAGTTATCACAAAATTTGCTGACCACCCTCACATTTAGAAAAAAAAAATTACGAGTGGAAGATAGCATAGAAACCAAACTAGTCTGCTTTGACCTTATTAGAACTCACTTGTTGCCACTTCCTCCAGAAGATCCAAAGCCAGGAGGGCCTAGCGTGGCAGCATTGCCACTCCCACTGCCACTAGCTTTCTTAGACTTCTTGGGCTGAGGAGGGCGGGGTGCCCGAGGCCCCTTGTCATCTTCATCAACACCAGCTCGGCCGCGATGCTTCTCTGCCTTCCGTTTCTTCTTTTTCTCCTTTTTCTCTCTCTTTCGCTTAGGCTTAGATATCGGGCCCTGGGACAGGGCAGCAAGTTGTTCGTGTACTGCCCGAAGCTATAGAGAAAGAAAAGTCAAGACATGAAGTGGGAAAGTAAAATTGAGAGAAAAAAATAGGACCAAGACAGAGCATGAACCAAACTTTTACCCAGTTAAAAGACTGAAGAGTGACAATATACCTGTTCTTGTAGTTCTGCCAAGCGATGAGCCCTTTCTTCCTCTGAGTCTGAGCTTTCACTTTCTTCCTCTTCCTCCTCATCTTCCTCATCTTCTTCCTCCTCTTCCTCAGAGGAGCTCTCACTGCTACTTTCCTCACTGGAGGACTCTGAAGAGGATTTGGTCAGCCCAGGGGGCAAAGCAGTGGAGACTGGTAAAGGCCCTGGTTCCAGTGGTTCATCTGGCATCTTTGCATAACGAAACTCGAATACGTCCTAGGAAAAAAACAGACTCCAAATTATGCTGGTACAATGTTCTGGGCTATACCCAGTCATCGTCATATAATTTCAATTTGTGGCCGTACGTCCTCTCATGTCGAGGACATACTGCACAAATTGATGCAATCTCCCTCCCATACCCATTTATCCTTTAAGCTTCAACTTCTACACTCACCTGCAGCTTTCGTGCCATGGCCACAACATCGTGGTCTGGGGGGTTGTACTTATAGCAGTTGGAAAACATAAGCCGCACGTCAGCAGCAAACTCCTGTGCGTCCCGATAATCACGGTTCTCCATCTTCCGCTGCAGAAGGAGGCAGCATCAGAAGCTGCACAGGCAGAGAGACTCACCTTTCCCTGCCAACCCCAGACAACACAAGAGGCCCTCTCTTGAGAGCACAGTGGGGATGTGCACATGGATCTGTGCCCTGAGGTTAAAGTTAGAAGTCAAAGGAATTTGGGTAGGTTGAAGAAATTATCTTAAGTCTAGAAAAAGAAATCATTTCTAAGTGATACAGGAGGTAACCCGACTGTTCTTCCACCCCTTAACTTCTCTGACCCAACCCTCCCATTAAATAGTAGAACTGTGTATTAGGGTTACTCTTTAAACAGAATACTCATCCTTACTGTAGGAAATGCAATTTCAAACTGCTTGACCTGCCCCTTTACAATTTTGTAAAACCAAAAATCAAAGACTGCTGTGTAACCCATAAGGAGACATGAACATTATTTTATTGATCCCTAGATGCCAATCACTGCCTTAGCATCCCATCTGCCCCATGCAGTGGGTACCTTGACAGTGCTGAGGTCCATGGGGTGCTTAATGATGTCATGGTAGTCATGCAGGCCAAGAGCAGAAGCGTCCACTGGTTTATAGAAAGGCCAGGCATAGGCTGCATGCTTCTTAGAGAGCAACTCCTTCAAAATGCCATTGCAATGTTTTAACTGTTCTGACAATTTTCCTTTTTTAGAGCTCTGGTGTTGTTGCTGAGAGTCAGGCAAGTCTTTGCGTGGGGGCTTGATGGGGCGACCACTCTCTCTACGCATAGGGGGAAGCCGTGCTGCTTTAGGCTCAAGACTCCCAGGAGGGCTGGCTGGGGAACCAGGAGCCAGGATGGCTGTAGGTGTAGGGGTGGTAGTATCTGCTTTTCGTTTAACCCCTTTTTTCTGCAGAAAAAAAAATAAAAATAAAAAAACCAACAGACTATTACTCCAGGTCCACTTCATTCAAAACCTTTCCCTTCCCACTGTCCAAAACAGATACATTTATCTATACCTTGGCAAGGGGCTGAGCTGGGGGAGCTGCAGATACAGCAAGGAGCGGGGGTCCAGCAGAATGCAGAGACTTGAGAAGGGGAGAAGAAATGACCGATGGATGGGGAATGTTGAGGACAGTGGTAGGTATCTCAGGTGGTGGAGTATATAGGGCTGTGTGTGACACAGAAGAGACAGCAGGCACCTGATGGGCACTGGTAATACTGCCCTGGAGTGCTTAATAAAGGAAAACAAAGCAAAAACCGTTTAGTTTGTTTCTCTTTCCTGTCTCTTCAGGTCTCCATTCGCAAAACTCTCACTCTTCCCACCTGCCAACTTGGCCCCCTTCTTATGGCTGTTCTTAGGGATGGTCACCACAAGCTCTTGTTCGTCTTGAGGCATTGATGCCACCTTCTGTAGGAAGATCTTTTCCAGTGTCTGTGCCATCAGGACTATATCATCAGTGGGCTAGTGAAACAAAAAACAAATTTAGAAAGGTCCAAATGATAGCAAAAAAAAGACCATTTCTGTCAAATTCCGGGCCCTAGGGCATGACCACTCTCCCTTAGGCACCTGTCTTCAAATGCTGCAAATTACCACATTAGGCCAATAATGTCCCCTTCTTTCCTGTCTCTCAAAATACAAACTAATGAAAATACATGGTCCCTTAATGTTCACAAGCTTAAGAGAATGAGAACTGATGAGTAAAATAGATCCTGCTCTACTCAGGTCTCTGGAGCTTTCTGAGAAACAGGGCCACCATCCCCAAGTATGGAAGTGTTCTACTTAAATAACCTTAAACTATAGAGCTCTGAAGCCACATTACTGATAACACTATTTGGACTCAGTTTTCTTTGGACCATTACTAACTGGATACAGCTTCAATAGAAGAGAAAACGTTTCCGTTTGGCTATAATAAATGTCCTCTTATCACCTGCTAAATGCACACAGAAAAACTTACCTTGTTGTAAATGTAACAGTTGGTGAACATGGTATTGAAATCCTGCATACATTCAGAAGCAGCCCAATAATAATTGTTTTCAAGTCTCCTCTTAATAGTACCCATGTCCATAGGCTGTTTTATAATTTTGTGATAATCCTAAAAAAAGAAATGGTACGTCAGAGCCACTGAAAATTAAAATACCTATTCTCCCAGGGAAATCACTGACCGACCCACACACACACACACACACACCCCCTATGTATCAAAGGAATACAGTTCCCTAAACTGCGGCCCCAATTAAACTACAGGACCAAAAAAAACGGGGGGAGGATAGGGTGGGGAATAGGATCCTTAACCCACTTTGGGGGCCCCTACTGCCTTTCCCTAACCACCCACCTCCCACCCATTCTAGAAACTTCCCATCCTGTGACATTACCTCTGGGGTTGGCTATCCATGGGCTGCATGAGGGAAAGGAAGAAGCTAAGAATTTTGGCCACCGTGGTCCTCTCCCAACCCGGGGTGGGAATCTGTAAAATGGAGCCAGGGCACAAAAAGTTAAGGAAGGACACAGAGGGCACAATAAGAGATGCCAAGATAGAGATAGCAAGCGGTTGGAACAATCACAAAGGACCAAGAATTCAGAACTATGGTGGCTATCTGCCCTACAGAAAAGAATTGGGAACTCCCTAGGGGCCGCAGCACCTACACTAGGCAACCCACCCCCACTCACACACATTCTTGCTCATTCCCATACCCCCCCCCCAATTCTATGTTCCTACTCACCGGCAGACCCAGTTTGACAGCATCTACAGGCTGCCGAAATGGCCACGCAAACTGATGTTTCCACAGAGCTTTCATCACCACCTTGTGCAGGTATTGCAGCTGGTTGGTTACCCGTCCTGGCTTTTTGGGATTGGATACTTCAGGGGGTGGTGGGTTGGCAGGGGTTAGTTGCAAAGCTGGCACTGACGCCATAGTAGGACTCTCAAATCCCTCATACAACAGAGAAGGCTTTCGAATCCTTTTTCCTGGAGCTGCTGCCTCTGGGCCCAACCCCAGTAACCCTGCATTCCCGTCCCCAGGGAGCCTGCAAAAATGGTAAATAACATTAGATGTGGAGATCTCATGGAATTCAAAGTGCAATTTGCACTATGTCACCAATAAATCCAAGCTCTGGACCTAGTGAGACAACTAAGCTTGCAAGTGGCTCCAAATATGAACCAATATCAAAATCATCTGTAGAGATTCTGTTGATGCCCACTTCCCCCCTCCTTTTATTTTTAGTATAGCTAATCTAGATCCCACCTTCTGGAGTCTGGCAACCCATGCTCAATTAAAAATAAGAAAGCCCTATGGGGATGGCTCTTAAGCAAAAATGGGTGGAGTTGAAGACCAAGAATCCTCCTCACTAGGGGTTTGGTGGTTGCCATGGTGGTTGAGCCTGAGGGAAGACAGTGAAAAAAAGAGAGGAAATAAACTAGGAAGAAAAACTTCATAAAATGCTGAGGCACCCAAGAATCAATCCACCTGGGTAGAAGAAATGTTATTTTCATTAAGCTGAGTATTTAATAAAAGAAAATGCACTAAATGTCTAACTTAAAAATTCAGACAAGGGAACATCTTGTGAGACCTCACAATTGGAGTTAACTGCCCTCCGGATTTGCAAACTACCTCCTCCAAGAATTCAAAAAACAGCCACCCAACAGCCAAGGTCACAACCTGATTGTGACAGCACACCTCCCAACACCCTGCTAGAAAAACACGGTCTAACAGTTCCCAATGTAGCATCTACTGCACATTAAAGACCAACAGTTGTCCTGTTACTCCTCCAGGCCAGGTGTTTCCCACCACCTAAGATTTAAGACACTACTTAGAGACCTCATTGTTTACATCCGCAGCACTGCAAAAGTCTTAGCTCCACCCTCCTGCCCTAAATCAAACACTCGACACCATCAAAAACCAGCCCCCTCCTTCCACTCACTAAAAGACAAGCAGGAATTTTATGACACCCTAGACAGTAGGATCCTCTCTATCCTAAAGTTGGGAATCCCCGCTGCCAAGTCCTGAAGCTCGGTCACCATGGCAACTACTGGCAGAGGTTGACCACGAACCCCCCAAACACCATGACAAACCAAAACTAGGCACCAGGCCCAATACCCGCAGGACCTGCTCGTCTACTTAAAACTACCCATTCCTACCCTTTCAGCCACCGAACTATCTCTAACTTGGTTAAGACCGGGCCATGGCTGTAGCTTATAAATTGACAACCTGCGCTCCCCCCACACGCAGCAACTGGGTCGCCGCCACCGTTCCAAAACCGTCGTCCAACCCCCTCCGCGAGCCCGAGCCAACAGCTGCGCCAAGAAGTGGCAACGCATAGCAACCGGCGCCGGGTGGTTCGGTACTGCCCCCCGAACACGGCGCCCTCCACCCGTGCCGCCGCCCCACAACGACCCCTTCCCACGCGCGCTCTCGGGAGACGTACTTGTGGGGAGTCACGTTTTGCAGCATCTTGACCGCGGGGAACCAGCGCTGCCTTCAGCCGCGTAAAGTCCGGGTGGCCTCGGATCCCCTCACCGCCCGGTCCAGCATAACCCGGGAAGTGGGGGGGAGGCCGTTGCCCTTGGCCCTCCAGGCGACAATCTCCCCGCTGGGCCGGCACGAGCAGTCTCCTCCGCGCGGCCTCTCGCAGGACTCCCGGCAGCTTGGCGCGCTCCGCAGGCAGCGGACAGCAAGAAAATGGCGGCGGCCTCAGCAGAGACCGGCGTACGACAAGGGGGATAGACTCCCCAAAACCAAAGACAGTCCCCGATCCTAGACACCGTCGTCAATACAGCCCGCTGTTGGTTTGCAGGGGTCCCCTCTTCCTGTCGGGACCGTACGGGTTGGACAAGATCCCGTTTCGACCTCGGATGGAGGCGGATGAACACGAAAAGTGGTTTAGGAAGCCGCCGCCTCCATCTTTGAAATCCTCTTGAAGGCGGAGTAGAGGGGGTGGACAGACTCCGACAATTGGGCGGGGCCCGAAAAAGGGGAGCTTCAGGGGCTTCTATGGGGTCTGTACTGTCCGCCGGGACCGGTCATAGGCCGAGACGAAGGCCATTTCCAAACGGATGGACGTGGATTGTAATGGCGGCCCCCGACGAGTCAAAGGCTCTGTATCGGTAAGCAGAATCCTCCAGGTCGTTCTAGAGGCTGCTCCACTCCAGCGCGAAATGGCGCCGCCGAGCCCCGCGCCAGCCCTTTATATATAGGCGGGGAGGAGGAGCTTCGTTGCTCATGCGCGCCACCCTGCTCCAGAATTTCCCCACCCCCTCCGCGCGCGCTCGCTCGCTCACGCGCGTGAAGTAGCAAAGTCGAAGGAGGTGGATCCCATCTCCGCGGGAGCTTCTTCTATTGGTCTGTCGAAGCGATGACGTCACAAACTTCAATTCCAAGTCGTCAGTCACCAGGCAGAAGAGTGCCGCATAGACTCACAGGGAATAGGCAACCCGCCATATCTGAGCCGCTTGGTTGCGCTGTGGTTCGGCGACTCCAGGGAAACAGGGAAGTTGGAATAGGTGCAAGGGCCATCTCCCCACGGCCTCCAGCACCTTCTCCCCGCCTCCTCTTCCAACTAAGTTCTCCCAAGCACGAAGTAACTCCCGACTGCCAAGCTTGGGCTGGTAGTGCCATTCGTAGTTCTCCATTGGCCGAACGGGAGGGGTCGCGTGGGCGTAGCCAGGCGCGGCTCGCCAGGGGTGTGGCTGCAGGACGCAGGGCGGAATGCTGTTCTTGGCAGGGAGGCCGCTGCAGTGAAGAATCTGAAATGAGGAAGAAAGACGCCATCTTAGAAGCCGCGGCCTATTCTCCTGTGGCGAACAACTAAAGGCGCCTGAACGTTAACAGCGAAGGGGTCTAACGTTCCTCTTTTCTACGACCTAAAATACGGCTTGCTAAAAGTCTTACAATCCTCCCTTCCCTCCCCCAGACCAAATAATCGAAAGCAAAGGCAAAATACTTCTCTCTGCAAACACCCAAATACTATGAACAAAGCCACCAAACCCAAAACTTTCACGCCCAAGCACTTCTCCAATCCCAGCCCACTCGTCCCTTCATTAGCAATACAAATACCTGCCTACAAAACCCCACAGCCCTAAAGAGGGAACAAAATCTCCAAACCCATCCATCCTGTAATACCCTTCTACCCGAACTCATTCCGGCGTCTGGCTCAGAACAGAAAAAAACAAGTCCTACAAGGGGAGAAATGGGGGAGGGACCCTCCCCTCTCCAGGCGAGCTCAGACCTTTCTCCGTGCTTCCCGCCCCTCGCCCGGGCAGACCCGCACCGCCCTCCTGGGGTCCCTTCGCACGCGGGGGCCAAAGAACGCCCCCATCCCCCCACCAGGGTCCGGAGTCCTCCCCACGGAGCTGCTCGTCCATCGGTCAGCGCCAGGGAGGAGGGCGAGCAGAGGAGGCGGCGGCTGTAGCTCAGACTAGCCCTCCCCCTCCTTCTCTCCCCTCCTCCCCTCCCCCCGGGCCGTCCGCCTCCGAGGAGGGGCAGGAGCCATTTTGGGAGCTCAGTTTCGCCCCCTCCCCCTAACTCCCTCTTAAGTCTTCCTCACAATTTGATTATCTGAATAGGCTTACAGACTACGTATGAATAAAGAACCGGAGCCCAAGGCCAGGATCTCTGAAGCACCTCTAGAGGAGGTACCCCTACCGTAGAATAAAAGGATTTCCCCCACCACAGAATAGCTGCGCTTTGACACCCCCGAGGAAAATAGGTTTGTGTGCACGTCCAGGCAAGGAAATTAATGTAGGGCAACGAATATAAGGAAAGCTCCCTCTACCCCTGGAAGGGCTAGTCAGGGCCTCCTAGGTCCTTGAGCTGCAATCATGCCACCCTCCATCTGCAGTAACCCTTGTGCTCCAACCTCGCATACTGCACCTAACATGGCCGCCAGCCCCCAGTCTTCAGGACCACCCGAAGAGGACAGACCCCCCCGGAGGGAAGTGCGCGTAGGGAAAGCAGAGTCCCCCGGCGCCCCACCCCCAGCCCACCTGGGATCCGGTCCTGGCCCCCCAAAGTACATGCAGCCCCGCCCGGGTGGCTGCAGCAGGGAGGGCAATGACACAGCAACTTTGCAAAGGCCTTCTCCCCTCCCCCTAGTGGCCCAGCCTCCCAAATCTGCTTTTCTCCGCCCGGGGCTTTGCAGGTCAGGACACAGGCCCATCAGGGGGCCGGCCAGGGCAGAAAAAATTGGGGCGGCAGAGAGATACTGGGCTTTAGAAAGGGAAAGGGTGGCCAGAATTTTAACTCTCATTTCCCAGCATTCCGGAAAATCACTGCTCCCCAATCTCTCCTAATCCTCCCTTCCCCCACATGAGTCACAGGGGAGGCTACTGCTACTCAGTAATTTGGAAAAGTAACTCTTCCCCTCCTTTCCGTTCCCTCCCCCGCAGTACACAAGGAGAGAGCTGTTCAGGACTGGGGGAGGGGATGAAAGACGCAATAGACGAGGCCACCCCGGAGAAACCCGAGACCTAGGAACTCTTTCCAGGCTCTGAGCTTTCCTGATGTCTCAGGCCACACTTTTTACTAGGACCCACTTTGGGCCTGGGTTGTTCCCCAAGTAGACCCCAAGCTTTCGGTTTGTAACCTTCCTCCGACCCCTAGTAGACAAGTGCTCAAGTAGCTCTTAGAGGGGAAACGAAGGTTTGGGCACAGGGCCCCCACAGGCCGTGTCCATGCGAATGCACACAAATTCGATAACAGACAAGTCTAAGCTCCAGCATGCCATGTGGTGACTGCGAGCTTCCCCCACAAAGGGAGCACAGAAATGCTCCGAGCAGAGTCTCTAGGGAAAAGTGAGTTGGCGCTTAAGAAAAACCTCATTTCACAGCCTGAATTGACAACACTAAAGCATTTACATCCATGATTAGGAATTACAGCCATCATTCTCACTCTTCAGCCTACCAGATCACCCCCTCAGCCGCCAAGAAGGATCCCTCTCACCTGGCTGCATGCTCCTGTACCCCCAGGGGACGAATGGGGGGGGCACGCCGCCCCCTCTTCCCCTTTGCCCTCCAATTGGTATGGAGGCAGGAGGTTGGCCATTCCCTCCCCCATCACAGTGGCCCTCTCCTGCTGGTCCCCCTCCACACTCCCATTGGCTGTGAAGTATTTGAAGGACAAATCCCACTCAGGTTCTTTTTGAACCCCAAGAATTCCATACACACCCCGGCTTCTTCACCGTATAGGTTTAAGTCACTGGCATCTAAATGACTAACATCATCCCCGCCCCAAGTGCCCCTTCTCACCTGGATGGTGGAGCCTTCCGGGGGGGCTCCAATGTTGCCCTCGGCTTGGTGCGGGGGGAGGATGTAATCCGGGGTGTCAACCCCCCCGGAAACCGAAGCAGTGTTGGGGGAGGGGGCGTAGCCCCCAGCCCCTCCCTTCCCGAGCCGGTTGGGGGGGTGGGGAGAGCATCCGGGCCGCGCGGCCACGTCAGCAGCACTCGGATTGGCTGATCGGAGTCACGTGCTCGCTGCTCCCCCCCCCCACACCGCCACGAGGGCCAGTTTTCCGAACGTTCCTGGGGGTCGTTTGGAGGGGGCCTCGGGGCCGCAAGGCCTAGGCCTGTCCCCCGACACCCAGAGCGCGCTAATGCTGCTGCCTCTTCATATCTCCCGCGTCCTATCCCGCTGTCGTCGACCTTGTCCCCCCCACTCGCCTCTCTGTACGGGTTCAGCATGGCTGCCGCAGCCCCGAAACGTGCACAGCGCAGGCGCATGGGCGCGACCAGACCGGGGGTGGGGTGCCCGGGGCCGCGAGGAGGGCCGCAGTGCGCAGGCGTCTCAGCCCAACCGCAGCTCCCGCCGCGGGCCACGGAGCGCGCGGTGTGTGGGGGACGGAAGTCGGTGCGCGCGGACCTCCAGCCTGGGCCACCCTTCCCCCACTACGGAGGCTTTGCGGGACAGCTAGGGACGGCGCGAGTCAGTTCCTTCTGGCCTAGTGTAAGGTGCGGCTTGGTTCGACCTGGCCAGAGTTCACGGAAAGCACACGGCGCCTAGTTGTTGTCCTTGAAGTAGAATAGAGACTGGCTGGAGAAGTGAGGGTTTGCAGGGTGGGGCCCCTCCCTTGGTGTAGTGTAGTTGCGGAATGGAGAGGAAGCTGATCACCCGGGTGGTGCCAGCAACGGGGATAAGGTGTGCCCTCTAAGTGTGTTTAGACCGTTTTACAACTTCTGCTGTTCCCAGAACATATCCTAGACTACTTTGCTTCGATGATGAGACCTGCAAGTTCGTGGACTCCCCTGCCTTCTACAAAGTTTGCCAACCGATCACTCTTCCTTATATACGGATCCTGTGGTCGACCATTTAAGTTAAAATTCCCTATTCAAGAGCCTGGCGCGATGCCGCACTCCTGTAATCCCAGCGGCTTGGGAGCCTGAGGCAGGAGGATCACAAGTTCAAAGCCAGCCTGGGCTAAACAACTTAGGTCCTACACAACTTAGCAAGACCCTGTCTCAAAATAGGAAAAAGAAGAAAAAAACAAAAAATAGAAAAAGGGCCGCGATGTGGCTCAGTGGTTAAGCACCCCTGGTTCAATCCCTGGTACAAACAGTACAACTCAGGAATTCCTGAGTCCTTGCTTTCTCTTAATCTTGGATCAATCCCATAAAATTTTAGGGATTAGTAACAAAATGATTACATTGCTACCAAGGCAATGTTTTAATTTGTTTGTAGCCTATTATGACTCTTCATCCCTCAGAGTGAAGTCTAGGTGTTCACTCTACAAGCTCTTAATCTCCTGTCCCCGCAGACAGATAGCCCCTTTAATAACAGAAAGACCAACTACCGTCCCCAGTAAACTGCCAGTGTGTATTGCTTTCCCATTTCTTTAGAAGGTCTTCCCTGTTTGAGGAAGTGCTTTATATTTGACCTGGTCAACTTTATGTTACCCTGAGGCCATCCTCCATTCTCCACCCTTTGTAATTTTTAATTTATCTTTCTTGGGTTCCTATTAAAAAAAAAGGAAACAACTCTCTCAGTATTGTACCTCCTCAGTAGACTCATTTTTATCTCAGCTCCTTTGAGCAACCAGAACCTGAAATTAAAATCATACTTACTGTCTGAATTTTCTATCTCCTCCTTTTCCTCCCTCCCTTCCTACTTCTCATCTCTGCCCTTCAAATCATATTTGTCAGACTTCCACCAGAAAGTCTGGCAAATGTCACCAAGGATCTCCTAATTGGCAAAGTCAGAAAGCACTTTTCAGTTTTCACCTTATTTGACCTCTCTAGAGCATTTGGCAATTATTTGATCATGCTTCCTTCCTGACATTCTCTATACTATTGATTTCTGTGACCAGTCTCACCAGTTTCTTTTCCTGCCTGTCTCCCTGCTCTCCTTTCTGGACTAACTTAGCCCCATCCTATGTGTTGATGTTTTCCAGGATTGTACTTGTTGCTTCTACTTTTGTTCATATTATCTAGGTTGTATTGCTCAAGGGTTCAAAGCCTTTCAAATCTGTATCTTCAATTCAGACAGCTCTTCTGAGCTAAACTTCCACCAAATATTCCTACTTGGATTGCTCTTAGACACTTAAGCATGTTCAAAATTGGTTCAATCTGTCTGTTCTCTGGATCCGCTCTTCCTGCGTAACCCTGAGTGATGGTAGGTATTCAGTTACAAAGCTTAGAATCTGACAGTCGCTCCTTGTTTCTTTTCTCACAAATTTATATCCATCAGACTCTTATAATTTTGCCTCTTAAATATCCATTGAGTCAAACTTCTGCCTCAATTTTATCACCTCGGCTAGGTCCACAGTTTCCTGAGTGAGGTCCTTATCTTCAGAGTTGCACTAATACAGTAGTCACAAGCCACATGTGGCTATTTGAACTTAATATTAATTATGGTGTTGAATTTAGTTCCTCAGTGCCCTGGCCACATTTCAATTTCTCAGAGGTACCTATTGAGAACAGACACGCACAAGGTCTCAATATGTTTTTGTTTCGGACAGCTTTCGGCCTTATCTGCTATCTCTTCTTACTAATTATGTTGCAGCCATATTGATCTTCCCTCATTTTCTTGAAGGAATTGGTCCATTTCCTGCTTCAGGACTTCACCCATGCTGTTCCCTCTGGTGAAGATTCTGCTTCCCACTCAACCTGGCTAATGCCTACTTACTCTTCAGATTTTATTTCAATATCAGTGGTTTCTCCATTCCATATAGGATAGCACAGAATACAACATTTCTGTCATTGAAGAAAGGTCTTTTGGACAGTGCTACTCTAGGTTTTCTTCTTGGCCTCTGACCACCATACTGCCAGGAGGGAGCTTTCCACAATACAGTTCTGACCATATATTATTTTTTAAACACTATTTCTTGTTGCCTGCAAGATAAAGTCCAAATTCTTGTGCTTGGCAGAAAAGTCTGCCTACCTCTCCACCCTCATATCTAGCCACTTCCTCTTGGGCCCTATGCTCTAGCCACATTGAACTGTTTCCCAAACACACTATTTTATTTCATGCCTCCGTGTTTTTTGCTTCAGCCCACTCTGCATGGATAGGTGTTTCCCTTGTCAGTCTAAACCCAAATTTGGGCTGGAGGCGTGGCCCAGTGGTAGAGCACTTGGCCACATAAGGCCCTGGAGTCAATCTCCAGCACCCTCCCCCCCACACACACACACAAAGTCAATGCTTGCCCAATTGCTCATTCCTTAGTGTCCTTTTCTTTTATGGTAGTACCTTTTACAGTGAATGACACTTATGTGATTACATGTTTTTCTTCACTACTAGACTTTGATCTGGAGAGCAAGGCTATGTTGTCTTTCTTTCTTCCTTCCTTCCTTCCTTCCTTCCTTCCTTCCTTCCTTCCTTCCTTCTCTTCCTCCCTCCCTCCCTCCCTCCCTCCCTCCCTCTCTCTCTCTCTTTCTTTCTTTCTTATACCCACAGTACCTGACCAACAATAAAGTGCTCACAAATTGAGCAAATGTTGAAGGGAATTGCTTAAGTGAGTGTGTGACTTAGGTAAAATTACAATGCATATGTACTTGTGGCACCCTGTATAATAATGGGGAATAATCAGACAATATTGCTTTCAGGTATACATTTGCAACATTGGAATGGTGTGAGGGAAGAGAAGCAGAACAGCACAATTTATTTTCACAGAGAGCAATGCAGTCCAATATGGCCATAATATAAACTACAAGAAGTAGAGTAGAAGAAAACTAGAAGTTAAATTTGTTTATAGAGTCCATATTATCCAGAGTTTCCAATGCTGTTAAGTATGGACCTGCTAGGGAGCCATGAAAGTCTTTGAGCAATAACTTCATCAGAATTATGTCATTAAATAGGGACATTGTCTTCCAATGGCTAGCATTATACATGTTAATAAACATTAAATAAAACTGTCAGGAATTGGAAGGAGATGCATTTGGTGATAGCTAATATTTGTTGACTACTTAAAATATTTCAGGCAGTGTTATAATTGCTTTTCACATACATCTTTTTAAATCCTTATTATCCTATAAAGTAGATACTATTATTATCACTCCCATTTTTCAAATGAAGCAATTAAGGCAAGAAATTTTAAATCATTTACCCAAGGTCACACTTCTGGTAACTAGCAAAGCTGGGATTTGAACCCAGGCAGTGAACTTTTTCATGTCCTCCAGCTTTTCACAATTTGTGATTGCCAAATAAACTTTTCCTCCTCTAAAATTGTTGTCAGGTCTTTTACTCACAGAGGTAAAAAAGCTCACTAACATACTCCTGTTAGTTGGTTCTACTCTTGTTCTTGTTCCCTATATAAGGATCTAACACAGTGCTAATCCTTGCCTCTAACCTAAATTGTTTTATACTTCCTTCCTTATAAATCTTACCAACCTTTATAGCTGGTTCAAACACCACCTCAAAGATGACTTTCAAATATCTCTCCAATCTTTTTTTCCTCCAACTTCAATCCTGGCTCTGAATCTCCCTGCTGTTCCTTGTAATTTGAATAACACACTATTCAGAGGCAGACTGCCTGGGTCCTCCAGCCACACACTACTTGCCTATAGTTACCACCCCATTAATCCACTGAAGTGGATTAATGCACTGATTAGGTTAAGGCTCTCACAACTCAATTATTTCACCTCTAAACTTTCTTGCATTGTCTCATACATGAGCTTTTGGGGACCATCGTTTCTAAACCATAACATCATCCAACCAGGAGGAAAAACATCAACATAGCATAAGGAAACCAGAACAAGAGAGAGTTCCAGTGAAGTTCAGTTATTTATTGAATGAATGATTAAATCCAAAGTTCTTTGACTTTTCTGTGCCATGTACTTGTTTTTGGCATTTTGGGGAAGACTTTGGGCCTTATCTGGCAATATTTGTAAGTGTATAAAATACAATTACCAAATTATTTAGATAAACGTGTGATAATCTAGTAGTGTGTTTCTGCACTGATACAATATAGTGTTCCTTTAATAATATGATTTATTGGCAGGTGTACGAAGTAAC